AGCTTAATTTCACTGTAAATCTAACACTTTTGCTTCTGTCTCAATCCAATTTATTTCAAAAGCAGTTCAGTGAAAATATTTCAAATATTGAATCACACAGATACAAATGTTGAACCACTAATGTACTCCAGTATAAGTTTTTAATTTTGTCCAGGTGACATTATTCATACACAATGGACTTCTTAATTAATAAAAGCCATAGTCTGAGGGAATGCCAGGAAGAGTATCATTTTAATCAATCATTCTTAGACAGTGTCACACCACTGGCAGGTTTTACTGGGCACTTCTCCAACTATAAGAAAACTACAACATGAAGAAGGAAAACTTATCTATGATGCTATCTATATATTTACATCAGAGCAGGTGCTTCGAAAATCTCAGAAAAAGGATGCAAGAATTTCCCCTTTTTCCAGTGATGAATGCACAGTTAGGTATCAAGGAATAAAATAGAAAAGGGTATTTTGAACTATGGTTTTCAGTTGCTATTGGCTCTCATTGCTTTCTCCATGTTATGATAGTGATTTCAATGCATGTATGTTTACATCTAAATAAATCGGATCAAAAAGTTAATCTTAAAAAAAAAGGAGCAAAATTCTTAAGTACGGTGGCTATTGTCTTACTGGAAGAGATTTCTTTTCCCTTTTCTATTTATAATCTAGAAACACATTAATCCATTTTTGTTTCAATTTCTATGTTAAATACTTCCAAGCCACTTAAGGTTTTCATATTTGTTATTTGGGCAAAAAATTACTCAGTTTTAATTAACATATACCTAAAAGAAAAAACTCTACTGGGCTGTTTTTCTCTCAATTTTTTTCACAGAGCTACATAGCCTCTTAACACCCCTGGTGCGCAGAATTGCCAAATTGCCAGCTACACAATAAGGCGAACAATGACAATTCAACACAACGGAAAAACACAGATGATACATTTTGCTGAACATTGTCCTGTGCCTTCAACAAAATTGCACTCTACAGCTCACTGGAACATACAATGAGACTAATTTAAATGAAAATGTGCAATGCATGGCAGTTAATCTTTACTTAAGAGTGAGAATCCGGGTAATTATTCTAAAAGGATCTTGGCTAAACACGGCAGCTATCCCATCTAAAAGGTTTCCACCTTACGGTATGAATGCCTGGGTGGTGATTCATGATTCATAATAGTCAAGTCTGTGATTTGAAAACGGAAGAAAATCTCGATGAGCAAGTGTTTGTCAACTAAGTGGTCTTGGCCCCCGGGTTCCCTCACATAGAAGGTTCTGTCTTGTCACAGTCATCACTGGCAAATGGTCACTTGAAACTACTTCTTTTTTTTAAAAGTTGTAACATGTACAATATTAACATTTCTGCAAATAAAGGTAGTTTGCAAAGTCAAGCTAACTTTACAATCGCAAAGCACAGGCTGAGATTCTATGCCGCTGCGAAACTGGGATTAATGCCCAGGACTGGCTTTTCTTTTCCTCTTAGTGAAGCAGAACTTGAAACAGGCAGGGCTGAAATCAAGCTCAGAGAAATGGAGTTTTGAAATAAAGACTTAATTGGCTAAAAGAAGAACATGAGACACAAGAGCAGACCTCCGTAACTTGGAGGGTACAGTGGCAGGGACGTGAGGATAAGGAGATCTTAGTTCCAATCCCAGCTCTGACTTATTTTTTTGGCTGCACCATATGCCATGCAAGCTCTTAGTCGCAGCATGTGGGATCTATTTCCCTGCCCAGGGATCAAACTCATGCCCCCTGCATTGGGAGCATAGAGTCCTAGCCACTGGGCCTCCAAGGAAGTCCCCTAGACCTGACTTATTAAATATAAGACCTTGGGCAAATTTCTTAATTTCTCTAGTCCTTATTTACTCAAATGTAAGTGGGTACAATGATACCCATCTTGAAGAGTAAAGGTTAGAAATATTATATACAAAAGTGCTCAGCACATGGATTACAGATAAGATTTCATACAGGATAGCTGTTATGTTGTTATTTCAATAGTATATAAAATTTCAAAATTGGCTCTCTGATATTTCTTAGAAACTAGAAAATATTTCCCTATGAAAACAAGTGAATACATAAATTAAAATTATAAATCATCACAATAACTAATGTTTATGGAGCACTTTCTGCTTGTTAAATAAACAGCCATGAAACAAGCACTATTTCCACAGGCAGTTTGCATAATGAAAGTGAAGCATGAAGAAGTGTTGTTCACTGTCACATAGCTAGTAGGGAATGAGATCAAAAATTCAAAACCAGGAAGTGTGGCTATGGAGGAGATGCTCTAAACTGCTTCACTGTATTGCCATCCACAGAGGAATAGATATATATAATATTCCATTACATGTAAAAATGGAATATTAGCCACAGAAAAGAATAAAAATTCTGACATTTGCAGCAACATGGATGGACCTAGAAAGTATTATGCATAGTGAAATAAACCAGACAGAGAAAGATAAATACTCTATGTTATCACCTATGTGTGGAACATAAAAAAAAAAAGATATGAATATAACAAACAGAAACAGACTCACAGATGCAGAAAACAAACGAATGGTTACCACTCAGGAGAGGGGAGGAAGAGGGGCAAGATGGGGATACGGCATCAAGAGATACAAACCACTACGTATAAAATAGACAACAAGGATATACTGTATAGCATAAGGAATTACAGATGTTATCCTGTAATAACTTAATGGAGTACAAACTGTAAAAATATTGAATCACTATATTGCATACTCGAAGCTAACATAATATTATAAATATACTTCAATAGGAAACAAAACTAACAAAACCAGGCAGTATGCCTGTGGAGCGGATGCTCTAACCTCACTGTATCACCTTAATGTAGGTTAATTAAGTTAGGTATTCATCAACCCCCAGAAACCTGTTTATTTTTTTAACATACTTGAACTACAATGTATATATCACAGCTTCCCATTTCTTAACATGTTTATTGAGGCATAACTCACATACCAGAAAATTCGCTCAATTAACTTTTTACAACCCAGTGGGTTTTAGTATATTCTCAGAGTCATGAGCCATAAACATGGTCTAATTTTAGAACATTTCCATAACTCCTTACGCATGAGCAATCACGCACCCTCAGGGCCTCTTCCTGGCTATCACCAATCTACTTCCTCTCCCTATTGATTTGTGTGTCTGGACAGTTCATATGGGGGCTTCCCTGATGTCTCAGCAGGTAACGAATCTGCCTGCAATGCAGGAGACACAGGAGACATGGGTTCGATCCCTGGGTTGGGAAGATCCCCTGGAGAAGCAAATGGCAATCCACTCCAGCATTCTTGCCTGAAAAATCCCATGGACAGAGGAGCCTGGTGAGCTACAATCTGTGGGGTTGCAAAGAGTCAGACATGACTGAGTGACTCACACACACAGACACACACACACACACAATTCAAATAGGTAGCATCATGTCATATGCAGTTCATTAATGTTGTACCACAAGTCTTGGTACATCTTCCTTTTTTATTGCCATTGAGTAAAATATCATACTTTGTTTATTCTTTCATTCATCATTTAGATGGACCTTTGGGTTATTTCTACTTTTTTATACTCTAAATAATCCTCCTCTGAACACTTAGGTGCATATTTCCGTTAGGGATATATATTTGCATTTCTCTTGGGTATGCACCTAGGAGTAGAATTGCTAGGCTGTAACTCTATGCTTAATGTTTTGAGGATCTGCCAACCACTGTCAAAACGGCTGCACCCCTTTGCATTCCCATCATCAAGGGCATGGGGGCAAGATATTAGCTCAGTGACATCAGATGTCTGAAAGGGTGTAGCCATTTGTTGCTCAGATCACTCCTACATTTGGAACCTGCAAGATCTCATGGGGTCAGCCAACCTTTGTGGTCTCACCCTGGGAGGTACTTTCACATGATGTGATAATGGACTGGACTCTTTATTATTAGTGATAATGTGGTCTAGTGAATTGCCGTGTCTGTTAAATGTTAGGACCCTTTTGTTAGAAGGGGTCTGTCTGTGGTCAAAACTCAGGGGGTGGCTTCAGATAACTTTATCTAGTCTTCATTTCCAGTTCTTGGCAAAACCTTCCAAAATCCATGAAATTTCCTGAAGAAGTGGAGTGACCTTTTCATTCCCTGGTGGCTCAGATGGTAAAGAATCTGCCTGCAGTGAGGAGACCTGGGTTTGATCCCTGGGTTGGGAAGATCCCCTAGAGAAGGAAATGACAACCCGCTCCAGTATTTTTACCTAGAGCATTCCATGGACAGAGGAGGCTGGTAAGCTTCAGTCCACAGAATTGCAAAGAGTTGGACATGACTGAGAGACTAACACTCTTTCACTCTGTCATTCATAGAGTCTCAATAGAGCACACTTGAATTGATGCTAATGAGGTGACTTAGTGTGGGGCACCAGATGGCCGCAGGAAGGGGCTGGTCACCAGAAAGATGAGGTGACTAGCTTGGAACTTTCAGCTCCACCCATCACTGGGAGGGACATGGGTGCTGCAGATTAAGCTCCATAAACACTGGTGAACCACAAGATCTGATGCACTTGTGGGCGGGTGTGCCTGTCCATAGGCCAGGAGGGGGCGTACCCCAGTTCCATGAGGACAGAAGTTCCTGCACTTGGATCCTTCCCCTTCCACACCTCACCTCGTGTATCTCTTCATCTGCTGTTCATCTGTTTCCTTGATAATATCCTTTATAATAAACTTTCAAGCACAAGTAAATGTCCTGAGTTCTGTGAGCCACCCAACACAAAACTCTTTGGGGTGCTCAGTAAGTTTCAAGAGCGTAAAGGGGTCCTAAATGGAAAGTTCTGAAAACTGCTCTTCAACAAATTTCTCTCTTCACCATCTAACCTGAACTCTTGTCTGGTGGGATGAAAAGATTTGCTTTGCACTGTTTTCTGCATATGCCCCTGGAAAGAAAATCTATCTCCACTCAGACATTCCTTTGCTTGAGATCCCATCTCTGAGTTTTGAGGATGAAACAGACAAGGACTTGGCAAAGTTAGCACTCACCTTCACTAGCTCGGTGTAGCCTGTCTCCCTGGGGGTCCACCACGGCTGGGCCTTCAGCCCCTGAACATTGTACAGAGAGCGCTGCCACACGGAGGCAAAGTGGCCCCGCTGGTGCCCCAGCTCGTACCACCTATATGCCTGGAAAATCAGAAAGGTTGAACTCCAAATGAGGCAGTCTTACGGTAAATAACCTTACAACTAAAGTCACTAAAAACAAGGTACGACTTTGTGACAATAAATAAAGAGCTGGCTAGTCAGGTGCTCCAATCTGTTAAACACTGGTAAAAACACTGTTCTTTGACTGGGTTTTTGATTAGGGCCTATTTTAAATAAATGTGTGCGTTTTATTTTCATTCCGAGGCTGTAAGCTCCCTGAACACAGGACTCACACTGCACACAGTCTGGTCTCCTCAGAGTGTTCAGCAGAGTCTAGGACTTTGTTCAGTGGATAAATCACTGAAGACACAAAAGGCAACTATGTTTATATTTTAGTTTTCATTTCTTAAATTCTATGTTTCCTTTGAAAAGAAGGAGTATATTTTCACCATTTTTTTTTTTTTTTTTTACAGATGCCTTCCTTTACTGATTTGGGATGCTAAAAAGGACAGCGATTTCCCCCCACCACCACACCTGGTGGCATGCAGGATCTTAGTTCCCAGACCAGGGATTGAACCTGTGTGTCCCCTGCAGTGCAAGTGTGGTGTTCTAACTGCTGGACTGCCAGGCAAGTCCCGGACAGCACCTTCTTTTCACATGAACAGTTTTCCTTGTCCACATGAAGAAGAAGACTGCCCCAAGGTAATGGAGTATAAACCCTCCATTAAAGAAACAGACAAAAGAAAATAATATTCTGAGTTAGCCATAAATAGAGTGATAGTCCTCATTAGGTTTTTTAAAGAAGGGAAATTTTGTTCCAAGTATTTTTTATCCCTGACATAAGGGATAACATTTGCGGCTGTAGGCTGTAACACGATACAACTTGCCTCCAAGACTAACTAGTCTTTTCGGTGACAGCTGGCTGCAGTCTGCTGCTCCATACGTACCCTTCAAATGATGCCTGAACCATATGCTCTCCTGGTGGCCCTCCCCACACAGCCCTGCACCCAGCACATCCCATCGTCTTTAGACTGGAAGACAATTCTAGGATTGTACTTGATGGTCCCCCCTTTATGAGTTGAATTCTGATCTAATGATTGCTTTTGAAGAGTGATTTCAAATACACATCTTGATCAATGAAAACAGGCAGTTACTGTCAAGCAGATTAAGAAGACAAGAATATTTTCATCAAACTCCATCTTACTGTAGATGTAAGAAATAATAACTCTTAAAAAAGTCTTTAAAAATTCATAGGCCAAAATTTCATTCATTAGAAAAATTGAGTGTGCTAGCAGAACCATCTCTATTTTCAGGAACACTTTTCAGCTCACTACTAGCTTTTGCACAAGTACTTTCATTTGTTCTTTTCTATAACTCCAAATAGTTCCATTTTACAAATGTTCAAACTGAGATTTAAAAAGACTAAACATGGTGAACAGTCACCCAGGGCATCTGGCAACTTATTCCACTCTCTCTCTGTCTCTCTATCATTTAAAAAGAAACTATCACAAGTGATCTTATGTAATTATCTTTCTCAATAATATCTCAAATTAAGAATATATGTACTAATCACTCTTATATGTTTTCCTTGAAAGACATGTAAGTGGTAACCATAATTTCTTTATACATGGCTCATAGTAGTCAGATTTTAAAAATATAGTATTTTACCTTTGAAATTAAATTGACTATTTCAGTCATTTTTGTCCAATTTAAATTTAGTTAATTTTTCAGTGCTAAAGTGAACAACCATATTAATTACCACAGATGATTTTTGGAAATTCTAATTTTTTTTTTCCATTTATTTTTATTAGTTGGAGGCTAATTACTTTACAACATTGCAGTGGTTTTTGTCATACATTGAAATGAATTAGCCATGGATTTACATGTATTCCCCATCCCGGTCCCCCCCCCCACCTCCCTCTCTGCCCTATCCCTCTGGGTCTTCCCAGTGCACCAGGCCCGAGCACTTGTCTCATGCAGCCAACCTGGGCTGGTGATCTGTTTCACCATAGATAATATACATGTTTCAATGCTGTTCTCTTGAAACATCCCACCCTTGCCTTCTCCCACAGAGTCCACAAGTCTGCTCTATACATCTGAGTCTCTTTTTCTGTTTTGCATATAGGGTTATCGTTACCATCTTTCTAAATTCCATATATATGTGTTAGTATACTGTAATGGTCTTTATCTTTCTGGCTTACTTCGCTCTGTATAATGGGCTCCAGTTTCATCCATCTCATTAGAACTGATTCAAATGAATTCTTTTTAATGGCTGAGTAATATTCCATGGTGTATATGTACCACAGCTTCCTCATCCATTTGTCTGCTGATGGGCATCTAGGTTGCTTCCATGTCCTGGCTATTATAAACAGTGCTGCGATGAACATTGGGGTGCACGTGTCTCTTTCAGATCTGGTTTCCTCAGTGTGTACGCCCAGAAGTGGGATTGCTGGGTCATATGGCAGTTCTATTTCCAGCTTTTTAAGAAATCTCCACACTGTTTTCCATAGTGGCTATACTAATTTGCATTCCCACCAACACTGTAAGAGGGTTCCCTTTTCTCCACACCCCCTCCAGCATTTATTGCTTGTAGACTTTTGGATAGCAGCCATCCTGACTGGTGTGTAATGGTACCTCATTGTGGTTTTGATTTGCATTTCTCTGATGATGAGTGATGTTGAGCATCTTTTCATGTGTTTTTTTGCCATCTGTATGTCTTCCTTGGAGAAATGTCTGTTTAGTTCTTTGGCCCATTTTTTGATTGGGTCATTTATTTTTCTGGAGTTGAGCTGGAGGAGTTGCTTGTATATTTTTGAGATTAATCCTTTGTCTGTTGCTTCCTTTGCTATTATTTTCTCCCAATCTGAGGGCTGTCTTTTCACCTTGCTTATAGTTTCCTTTGTTGTGCAAAAGCTTTTAAGTTTCATTAGGTCCCATTTGTTTATTTTTGCTTTGTTTCTAAAATTCTGGGATGTGGGTCATAGAGGATCCTGCTCTGATTTATGTCGGAGAGTGTTTTGCCTATGTTCTCCTCTAGGAGTTTTCTAGTTCCTGGTCTTACATTTAGATCTTTAATCCATTTTGAGTTTATTTTTGTGTATGGTGTTAGAAAGTGTTCTAGTTTCATTCTTTTACAGATGGTTGACCAGTTTTCCCAGTACCACTTGTTAAAGAGGTTGTCTTTTTTCCATTGTGTATCCTTGCCTCCTTTGTCGAAGATAAGGTGACCATAGGTTCGTGGGTTTATCTCTGGGCTTTCTATTCTGTTCCATTGATCTATATTTCTGTCTTTGTGCCAGCACCATACTGTCTTGATGACTGTGGCTTTGTAGTATAGTCTGAAGTCAGGCAGGTTGATTCCTCCAGTTCCATTCTTCTTTCTCAAGGTTACTTTGGCTACTCGAGGTTTTTTGTATTTCCATACAAATTGTGAAATTATTTGTTCTAGTTCTGTGAAAAATACCATTGGTAGTTTGATAGGGATTGCATTGAATCTATAGATTGCTTGGGTAGTATAGCCATTTTGACAATATTGATTCTTCCAATCCATGAACACGGTATATTTCTCCATCTGTTTGTGTCCTCTCTGATTTCTTTCATCAGTGTTTTATAGTTTTCTATGTATAGGTCTTTTGTTTCTTTAGGTAGATATACTCCTAAGTATTTTATTCTTTTTGTTGCAATGGTGAATGGTATCGTTTCCTTAATTTCTCTTTCTGTTTTCTCATTGTTAGTGTATAGGAATGCAAGAGATTTCTGTGTGTTAATTTTATATCCTGCAACTTTACTGTATTCGTTGATTAGCTCTAGTGATTTTCTGGTAGAGTTTTTAGGGTTTTCTATGTAGAGGATCATGTCATCTGCAAACAGAGAGAGTTTCACTTCTTCTTTTCCTATCTGGATTCCTTTTACTTCTTTTTCTGCCCTGATTGCTGTGGCCAACACTTCCAAAACTATGTTGAAGAGTAGTGGTGAGAGTGGGCACCCTTGTCTTGTTCCTGATTTCAGGGGAAATGCTTTCAATTTTTCACCATTGAGGGTGATGCTTGCTGTGGGTTTGTCATATATAGCTTTTATTATGTTGAGGTATGTTCCTTCTATTCCTGCTTTCTGGAGAGTTTTAATCATAAATGGATGTTGAATTTTGTCAAAGGCTTTTTCTGCATCTATTGAGATAATCATATGGTTTTTATCTTTCAATTTGCACACAAACGGAGACCAAAAGAAAGCAGGAGTCGCAATACTCATATCAGATAAAATAGACTTTCAAATAAAGGCTGTGAAAAGAGACAAAGATGGACACTACATAATGATCAAAGGATCAATCCAAGAAGAAGATATAACAATTATAAATATATATGCACCCAACATAGGAGCACCGCAATATGTAAGGCAAACGCTAACGAGTATGAAAGAGGAAATTAATAGTAACACAATAATAGTAGGAGACTTTAATACCCCACTCACAACTATGGATAGATCAACTAAACAGAAAATGAACAAGGAAACACAAACTTTAAAGGACACAATGGACCAGCTAGACCTAATTGACATCTATAGGACGTTTCACCCCAAAACAATCAACTTCACCTTTTTCTCAAGTGCACACGGAACCTTCTCCAGAATAGATCATATCCTGGGCCATAAATCTAGTCTTGGTAAATTCAAAAAGATTGAAATCATTCCAGTCATCTTTTCTGACCACAGTGCAGTAAGATTAGATCTCAAGTACAGGGAAAAAATTATTAAAAATTCAAACATATGGAGGCTAAACAACACGCTTCTGAATAACCAGCAAATCATAGAAGAAATCAAAAAAGAAATCAAAATATGCATAGAAATGAATGAAAATGAAAACACAACAACCCAAAACCTATGGGACACTGTAAAAGCAGTGCTAAGGGGAAGATTCATAGCATTACAGGCCTACCTCAAGAAACAAGAAAAAAATCAAATAAATAACCTAACTCTACACCTAAAGCAACTAGAGAAGGAAGAAATGAAGAACCCCAGGATTAGTAGAAGGAAAGAAATCTTAAAAATTAGGGCAGAAATAAATGCAAAAGAAACTAAAGAGACCATAGCAAAAATCAACAAAGCTAAAAGCTGTTTTTTTGAAAAAATAAACAAAATTGACAAACCATTAGCAAGACTCATTAAGAAACAAAGGGAGAAGAACCAAATTAACAAAATTAGAAACGAAAATGGAGAGATCACAACAGACAACACTGAAATACAAAGGATCATAAGAGACTACTACCAGCAGCTCTATGCCAATAAAATGGACAACTTGGAAGAAATGGACAAGTTCTTAGAGAAGTATAACTTTCCAAAACTGAACCAGGAAGAAATAAAAGATCTTAACAAACCCATCACAAGCAAGGAAATCGAAACTGTAATCAGAAATCTTCCAGCAAACAAAAGCCCAGAACCAGATGGCTTCACAGCTGAATTCTACCAAAAATTTAGAGAAGAGCTAACACCTATCTTACTCAATCTATTCCAGAAAATTGCAGAAGAAAGTAAACTTCCAAACTCATTCTATGAGGCCACCATCACCCTAATTCCAAAACCAAAGATGCCACAAAAAAAGAAAACTACAGGCCAATATCACTGATGAACATAGATGCAAAAATCCTTAACAAAATTCTAGCAAACAGAATCCAACAACATATTAAAAACATCATACACCATGACCAAGTGGGCTTTATCCCAGGAATGCAAGGATTCTTTAATACCGCAAATCAATCAATGGAAATTCTAATTTTTTTTAATCATCAGCAATTCAGTTTAAAGACATAGTGTTAGAATAATGAGAAGGAAATTAGTGGAGTTAGAAGTCTTAGATTTCAGTCCTGCACTAAACACTCAGCATGCTGGGTGCCTGGGCAAGACATTGCATTTACAGGGCATGTTCAAGTATCTGTAAGAGCTTTTCTGACACTCAAAGTTGGTACTAGTGCATCAAACAGGGCCCTTGACCTTATACCCCTCTGCCATTTAATTTTATTTTTTTAGCTGCTCAGCTCCAAGGATCTTAGTTCCCCCACCAGGGATTGAACCCATGCCCCCTGAAGTGGAAGTGCAGAGTCTTAACCACTGGACTGCCAAGGAAGTCCTCTCCCTCACCCCCCACCATTTAACTCTTAGAGAAACAAAACTATGAAATGATATATAAGGAATTAAAAAAAATTATCTTCAATTATATAGGGGACATAGTGAATTTAGCCAGATTTTTAATTTTTTAATTTTTAATTGGAGTATAGTTGCTTTACAATGTTGTATTGGATTCTGCTCTACAACAACGTGAATCAGCTTTAAGTATACAGACATCCCCTTCTTCTTAAGCCTGCCTCCCAGCGCCCACCCCATTCCACCCCTCTAGGTCATTATGGAGCACTGAGCTGGGCTCCCCCTGTTAAACAAGCTACTTCCCACTAGCCATCTATTTCATACATGGTGGTGTATCTATGTCAATGGTATGCTTTCAGTTCATCCCACCTTCTCCTTTCCCCCGCTGTACTCACAAGTCAACTCTCTATGTCTGTGTCTCTATTCCTGTCCTGCAAATAGGTTCATCAGTACCATTTTTCTAGATTCCATATGTATACATGCATTAATGAGGATTCCCTCATAGCTCAGTGGTAAAGAATCTGCCTGCCAATGCAAGAGACTCAGGGTTGATCCCTGAGTTGGAAAGATCCCCTGGAGGAGGAAATGGCACCCTATTCCAGTATTCTTGCTTGGAGAATTCCCGGGACAGAGGAACCTGGTGGGCTACAGTCTGTGGGGTCAAAAAGAGTCAGACACAATTGAGCAAGGAACACTTTTACCTCACTTTATATGCTATTTGTTTCTCTGTGGGCTTTTTAAATTCAAGAACTGTGCTATTCCTTGCATTTTAATGATAATTAAGCTGAAAACACAATCCCATAGGTTCAAATAGCAAGCTCTTAACAATGTGTAATAGTGAATTGTTTGCCCTTGAAGGGAAGGCTGTTTTCATCTAACATGTGAGACTGAATCACAGACTTATCTGTTTTATCTGTCTTCACCCTGGACCATGCGATGTTCAAAGGCAAATTAATTAGTGACGATTACATTTATAGTAATCAGATATGAACATTTATCCAGTGTTAGATACTGTTACAAAGTCTTTCTTATCCTTCTCATTCAAAGGAGGTGCCAGGAATTTACATCTTAAGAGAATGAAGGAACACAAAAGTGACTGCTAATCAGCAATTTCTTCTCTCTTCTTTCTCTTCTTTCATTTCTCATTTTATTCCAGTTGATTGACAGGTAGGTCAGAGGGAAAAGGTACAGATACACAGAAATGGATAAAGAAAACAGTGTCAGTCATCCAAATTTCTGTTACCCCAAATTGCGTCGTCTCTTTAGCTGGCAATTACCCAGTTACAAAACCCTTTGCTCCAACGAACCCTCAACTGTCCAAATAGTACTGAGTTCTTATTAGTTTTAGAAGCCAGAAGTTATGTTACCCTCAGATGTCACCTTATTATTGAGATATATATATATATGAAATGCATGGTTACAAAAATCCAGGGTCCCCGGCTCTAATGAAAGCCCAGCATAGGGCCATGGCATGGTGCAGGACAGCCTAGCAAGGTTGTGTGAACCACAGTGGATGGTGAGAGTTTGGGGATTTACATAGTATGATGCCATCATTAATGACCAAATGTTATACTAAAGAAGCTGACATTGAACTCAGAAAAAAGGAATAATATAAAAGAAAACATGTGATTTGTTTTAGGTGCTACATTTTTTGTGTCAGTACTGGTCATTATTATAGCTGTAGATGCTCATCTTAAATTTGGTATTAAATATTTCAGAAAGTAATTACACAATGAACCAGGTTCAGTCTGCTTAAGAATCAGTTGGATAAAGACTTCATTCTAAAAATAACTACTTTTAAAATTCCAAAATAACATAAATCTAGGCTTCCCTGGTAGGTCAGCTGGTAAAGAATCATCCTGCAATGCAGGAGACCCCAGTTTGATTCCTGGGTTGGGAAGATACCCTGGAGAAGGGATAGGCTACTCACTCTAGTATTTTTCCCTTGTGGATCAGATGGTAAAAATTTCTCTTGCAATGTGGGAGACCTGGGTTCAATCCCCAGGTTAGGAAGATCCCCTGGAGAAGGAAATGGCAACTCACTCCAGTATTCTTGCCTGGAGATTCCCATGGACAGAGGAGCCTGGCAGTCCATGGGGTCACAGAGTAGGACATGGTTGAGTGACTAAGCACAGCACAGGCAAACTATAAAAATATCTTAAAAGATATTTAAACATTTGCAAGGATATCTCTTCATTTCATAAATTTAAAAATATTTTTTCAAGGCAATATCTGTCTCTATAGATACACACACAGACATACAAACAGGCACACATATACATGCACACATACACACGCATATGCACACTAATTTAGAGGCTACTCTTGTGATATTCAGAAACCTTATTGAAAGAAATGACAAAAGTCAAATCCCAAAATTTCTTTATAGTAGGAATTGTTAGGCTGTTGCAAAAAGTTTAAACCACGTTCAAAAGTTTATGTTCAAAACATTTTTTTTTCAGTTGTAACTGTCTCATAGAAATCATTGCCCCCCCCCGCCGCCATCTTCTATTAAAGAGAACAAAAAGCTCATGAATGCACTATTACCTCTTTGTTTCCAACTCTCTGCATGGCATCCCCCAGGTGAAAATAAAATCTCCCATCATCAGTACCAGGATCCCCAGATTCTATTCCTTCCTGTAGAAAGGACAGTGTTAGTATTTGTAAAAGGATTAGATACCAGACTTATTAATCCATTGACTTACTAAATCTTTTCTAAAAACCAGAAAATCCTCTCAATATTGTTTTTCAGTCTCCTAGTCGTGTCTGACTCTTTGCAACCCCATGGACTGCAACACCTCAGGCCTCCCTGTCCCTCATCATCTCCCAGAGTTTGCCTAAGTTCATGTCCTTTGCATTGGTGATGCCATCCAGCCATCTCATCCTCTGACACACCCTTCTTCTTCTCTCATTCTTTCCCAGCATCAGGGACTTTTTCCAATGAGTCGTCTGTTTGCATAAGGTGGTCAAAGTATTGGAGCTTCAGCTTCAGCATCAGTCCTTACAGTGAATATTCAAGGTTGATCTCCCTTAAAATTGACTGGTTTGACCTCCTTGCTGTCCAAGACACTTTCAGGAGTCTTCTCCAGCAACACAATTTAAAGGCATCAATTTGGTAATTAGGTTACTGGTCAATATTTACAATGCAAAACCAAAAGGAGGTGATAAAGTTCAATGTAACAATGCATTCATCATCAATTAACAGTGGAATAGCCCATTAAGTTAATATGATGCTTTGTGAAGTGTCTCTGTAGGAACAATTGTATTTCAATTTCCCAAAGAATTTCTCTGGCAGAGTTTCTACCACATTTATTTTGTTCTCCAGATCTGATCATATGTCATCTAGAGGCTTTTATCCCCTGAACGAAAATGTTTAGTTGCTTATAGATGTTTGAAATGATAGAGACCCAACTACAAGTAATCTTTTTTTCCACTCAAAACAAAAGTGTCCTCACTTTTCGATGAAATCATTTACAGAACACACGATAGGATTAAAGTCAGTTGGAATCTTTGAAAATATAATTTTATTAAATAACTCCCATCCTAAAACACTCAGCTGATTTCTATCCCCACTGTCCACAAAAGAACTGAAATTTAAATTTATGTAAAAACAAAAAAGAGAGAAATATTAAAGCAAGAGAATGAATTTAGAAAAGTAAAAGCCCATTATCTTTTACTCAGGTGAAATTTTATGCACATAAGGGTGGAAAATAGCAGCACAGAACAGAAGCATCACTCAGGAGAGGAGAGCTGTGATCCGGGTTTTTGACTGACAGATGCTCAGGTAAACATCCTCGTTCGTTAACTAACCAACCCTGCCCTCTACTTCCTCATCTCCGTGCCAGGAGGGTATTGTTAGGTCCTTATGATGTCAAAGGAAATTTAAGAGGAATATTTTATATCAGAGAAGACTATGTGCCCACAGGATCATGGTGGGGAATTGGCAGGTTGCTGAGGTCCCGTGACAGTCAAGACAGGCTGGGGGGTGCGGTGTATGCCCACTCAAGGGGCACCACTGCTCAGCTCCTGTGCTGAGATGTGGATCTCATGGGACCTTTGCAGAGAAATCAGAAATTTGCTTGATTATATAAAATCCTCCAGATTTTCAACTAAGGTAAGCAATTAAAATTGTTCTTAAGAGGATTATACCGGCCAAATAGAACATGCAAGCTACTTGTAATCAGTGGGTCACTATTTGGGATCTCTGACCAAAGTCCTATGAAGGAAACAGATCACAAAAGTGGATCATAAAAGTGCTACTTCAAGTTCATAGGTATATAATCAGCTACCTGGCTGATATGGTAGCTACTAGCTAGTGTTACAGGCTTCCCTGGTAGTTCAGATGGTAAAGAATCTGCCTGCAATGTGGGAGACCCAGGTTCGATCCCTGTGTTAGGAAGATGCCCTGGAGAAGCGAGTGGCTACGCACTCCAGTATTCTTGCCTGGTCTCCAGGGCAGAAGAGCCTGGTGGACTATAGTCCATGGGGTGGCAAAGAGTTGGATGCAACTGAGTGACTAACACCTTCACTTTCACTCTTTCAGCTGGTGTTACTATTTAAATTACAAATAAAAAATTCAGTTCCTCAGTGATATTAGCCACATTTTAGATGTTCAACAGTCATAAGTGGTTAGTGGCTACCATATGAGAAAATACAAATAAAGATCATTTCCTTTATGGCAGAAAGTTTTGCTGGTCAGCCCTGAGCCAGACCACATGTGATCCTGGTGAACTGACGAGGATTCCGTTTTTATGTGACTAAAAAATGACAACACATTTTATTCTGAATCTTTCAAGCTATCAGGCTTTTGGGGATTGGATTTACTCAGTCTGCATTTGTTACCTCATTTTGTGTAGGTTTCCATGAAACCTGTTTAAAGCAGTTTCAATGTATAATTAAATTGCAAAAGGAACAGTTAATTCATTATTGCTGGGGGATTTTTGCCATAACTAATGCCTGTGGCTGGCAATTTGCTATGATAGTGAAAATTGAAATGTCTCCGGTCAATAATGTTTGGGTAACAAAAGATGTATTCATATACCTCTGGTTGATACTGTGTTAATGCATTGCCCATATTTTAAAATAGTTTATCAACTAATAACAACTGCAGTTTTAGGAATTTCTTCAAAATCTTTTCCAAATAATCTCTGCTCATAACATTTCTATCTCTGATACCCTCGATTAAGCTGAAGGTCCACACTGCCTGTGAATGTCATCGTCTGAAGGTATATATTTTGGTGTTGAAAAGGGTCAGTAGTGCATGCCAGTCAATCTACAATACATAATCAAGGGTGTCCAAATGACTCAAAGGGATCAGAAGAGGGAAAGAGAGGAAGGGAAGGAGTTACCTTTAGATAGGGGATGCTCTCAGCAATCTTGTTCTGTGCCTTCAGGATAAAGCCATAATGCACTTTAGCAAAACCGTCATTAGGTGTCACGCTCAGAACCTAAACTCAAAAAAAAAAAAAAGCTATTGCGATGGACTGTGAATTCTACAAATGTTTTAATTAACTTTGCTGTGCTTGGACTGGATTATGATGCTATAGGTTAAAGTACAATAGTGTTTTTTCTCAGTGCAATACATTAGATTTAAATGGCCCCATTTCCCCTCAACTCAAAATGTTCAATGCAAAATGTTCTCCAAGAATGAAGAAATGAATGAAAAGGCAATGACCGTTAAAGCATTGCTCTAACAATGCAAATCAGCAAAATCTCTATCAATTTTATGACCTCAATATTTTTCAGGGAAAGACTGCTTTAAATTAGCTCTATTTAAAGTCAACTCTGAATGGTTATCATATATTTCTTTACATGTGTGTTTTATGGGCTTCTTTGGTGGGTCAGATGGTAAAGAATCTGCTTGCAATGGAGGAGACCTGGGTACGATCCCTGGGTTGGGAAGATCCCCTGGAGGAGGGCACAGCAACCCACTCTAGTAATCTTGCCTGGAGAATTACATGGACAGAGGAGCCTATTGGGCTTACCATCCATGGTACACGACTGAGTGACTAACACTTTCACTTTTGCATACAGCTGCTCCAGGACTCTCCTCTCATCTTCATGGATGAGTCCATGAAGTCCACATCCCACTCACATACCTGCTACTATGACAGGGGTAGGGGTGGGTGACCAGGACTCAGAGGGACCCACAGGGCTGCCCTCCCAGCTTGATTCTTTATGATCACCTACTGCGCTTACTGCAGTTTACATGCAGTGCATAACGGATGCACAAGTTGTATTATCCTGTTGTAATTAGCAAACTCTCAGAAAATGACAAATGGCTTTATAAGATTTCTAAAAAAGTCAAACTGAGATTAATTTTAAAAATGTTACCAAGATTCTCTCTCTCTCTTTACACACACACACACACGCGTGCATGCATGCACACACACACACATAAAGCATAGGCAACAACAAACTGGCTGACATTTCTAGTTCTGCACAAATTCGGCAGGACACACTACCAGGACTAAAAATATCCTTATAAATAATGTTTCACATGGACATTATTAAAAAATATCAATTTTTCAGTGAGAGTGAAAATATTATTGACAGTTAAATGAAAATTTTAAAGTATCTGAAATATTTCATCTTAAAACCTATTTTGGAATGTGGACCTTCTAGAATGTCCACTATAGGTTAGTACATGTATACATAAACATACAATTCACAGGTTTTTGCTTGAACATTTTTTACTGAAAGAGGATACAATCAAACACGTCTGAAGATTACTGCTATGGGCAGTGGGAACCACTGAGGAGCTGAAGCCAAGGATGAGGGTTGGATTGGCATTTTGTGTTGCTGCAGAGTGTAAAAAAACAAGGCTGGGTGGGGTGGATCTATCCTATTTTACACTAGAGACAATGGGGCCTGAGTTAAATAAGAGGATTTGAAAGATACTGAGGGTGTTAAAAGTAACAGATTAGTTACTTGGAACTAGACTGACTCCATGATGGCATTCTCTGTGTTGTTTCCTTAACCACCAGTTCCTGAGCCAGTGCCTGTGGGTTTCAATAAATAAGTGCTAAGTGAATGGATAAGCATGAGGAGTGAAGGGAGGCAAGGGGCAGGAAGATGCTGGACCAAGTGCGGCTCAAGTAATTGATGGTGTTACTAACAAGGGGGAAAGTGCAGCAAAGTCTCCAAAAACCAAGGATGTGAGCAAGGTCTCTGCAACCACCTTAAAGTCAATCTTTGCTGGGACCTCCTTGCAGGTTAAGAATCTGTGTTTCCATTGCAGGGAGCAAGGGTTCAATATCTGATCCAGGAACTAAAATCCCACGTGCCACTCTACACAGCCAAAAAAAAACCACAAAAACCCAAGGATCAGACAGCCAATGCCTCTGAAAGGAGAGTAATTTATGCCATATACCCAAAAGGCTTGTATTCTGTAGTTTCTCTCCAGTTTGGACTGTAACTGAAAAAAGTACAAGATAATGTGTTTTTAAGTTCTTGAGTTTTTGAGTTCCTCTTCCTGTCATAAAGAACACTTTAGAAAGGTTATCTGTGGATTGAAAAATATATATGAGTTTAAAAAGTATCATAATTATAGGTTGAAGGCTTTGATGTACCAAATGTTAGCTAATATTTAAAATCTTCTGATGAAGCAGAAAAAGGGTGACAAAACAGAATTTAGGATATGTTAACTATAATAAGACTTGGATTTGACTTAAAGAGAGTGAATTATCAGGCGTATTAAAGGCAGTTTTGAAATAACATTAGAACTCCATGTTCAAAAGACTTTGATTAATTGTTAATAGCAAATTGCTGCCTACTTACCTCTTCATAGACCTTCTTGGCACTGTCATTGTCTCCTATCAAGAGGTATCCAACTCCAAGGTCATTCTTTAAGGAAGTATCATCAGGAAATAGTTGAACTAATTTCTGAAGAGTAAGCAAGGATCCTCTCATGTGACCTGATTTGATGGAAAGAAAAAAAGAAAACAATAGAAATAAAAATAGCTTCTGTCCACCCTTGTCTTGGCACTACAAATCATAAGAGACTATTCAACAGAGCCTGAAGACCAGCTACTCTGACACTGTATACTGACGGCTAAGTCCCTCTTAGGATTTTATCCTGCAGCTCTAAGGGCATTAGTAACTCCCATAAGTGGGTTTTCCAGGTGGCACTAGTGGTAAAGAATGCAGGGGACACAAGGGATGCCAGTTCAATCTCTGGGTCGAGAAGACCCCCTGGAGAAGGAAATGGCAACCCACTCCAGTATTCTTGCCTGGAAAATCCCATGGACGGAGGGCTTCACAAAAAGTCAGACACGACTCATACACACAGACAACTCCCATAAGTAGATACTGAATATAATACTGATTACAAATATGTTAAAGACATTCTTATTTTCTAAGTTCATCAACATTTACCCTTTATGTCAAATTGTCTCTTATGAAAGTTTTAGTTACCCATTCCTTATTTTAAAAATGTTTTACTGGGGTATTTTTGACATTATAATTAACTTTAAAATTATGAATACAGAATAGATAAATAAGAAGTCTAATAGATTTCAGGGTCTAGCACCCTGGATGAGACATGAAGAGGCACTGAGGTACTCTGCTTGTCTTTGTCTCTCAGTAATGACCTAGTCCTGGAGCCAAGGAGACATCATCTGGTATTAGGGGGCCCTCTGGTGGACAATAGGATGCTATGCCTACATGAACCATGAAAACCCAGCTTCAACTCATTTTAAGGGCAGATCCAATGGATGTTTAAGATTTAGAGGGGTCAACTGTCATCATTCTTCACCTCAGTTGGACAGAGTGCTTAGAACTCCTGACATTTCTTATATCTATAAAACTATTCCACTAATGATTTCAGCTACAACAGACCAGATGGTTACAGTTCAGAGAGAAAAGAGGAATTTGGCATAACAACAAGTCTTTGATTCCAGACTTATTCATTTATTGGGCTTCCCTGGTGGCTCAGAAGGTAAAGAATCTGCCTGCAATGTAGGAGAGATGGGTTTGATCCCTGGGTTGGAAAGATCCCCTGAAGAAGGAAATGGCAACCCACTCTAGTATTCTTGCCTGGAGAATCCCATGGACAGAGGGGCCTGACGGGCTACAGTCCATTGGGTTGCAAAGAGTCATACATGACTGAAGTGACTAACACTTAGCTATTCATTTATTAGCTAAGATTCCTTAGGTAATTTATCCAACCTCACAGAATTCCATTTGCCTCATCTTTAAAATGTGTAGGGAGCAGGTAAGCAGCAAAAATAATGTCTGTATCTTTGCAATTATGAAAGATTCCTCTTTCAGGCTGACCCAATCAGAGAAATTGCCTGAAATTAGGTAGAAAACTCAGGTTTCCTTCCATGTAACTAAACTCTCCTAAGAGTACACACAGCCTCCAGACTTTTTCAGATAAAAGCACACTGCTTGCTACTGAAATGATTCTTCTTCTATCTCACCTAGAAACTGCTGTCTGTCTGACCTCCGCTTCAGGCTCAGCTTCACCAGGTCTGTGGGGGCATCAGGCAGGCTGGCCGCCTCCTGGTAGGTCTCAATGGCCCTGCGCAGGATCTCATTGCTCCTTCTCTTCTCAGCCAAATCGTCTTCACACTAGAGGAAGGGAGAAACGTCCCAGGACAAGCTGCATGTGTAGTTGCCCAAAATATTTATGAAAAGTTGATGTTGGGACCTGCTTTAAAAGTAATTCAAGACAAATTAAAATTTTCTCTTCATCAAGGATAAAAAAATAAAGGAAGGCAACATAACATATTATTTTAATAATATGAAGAAAAGTTAGCTACTAAGCTATACATGAAAAAGACTATCATAAAAGCAGGATGAATATATGTTTGGCTGATGGAACATGTACCCTGCTATATATCAACATTAATAGTCGGAATTCCAGTCCACAGTTTCTGTTCTTCCACTAGTTTATTCCTGTGCTCATTCATTCATTCAACAACTATACTCTGTCTAGACAGATGCAAACAAACAAAGCAGATTAACCCTTTAGAAAAGGGCAATTCACCTTGGCTTGACAGAAAAAAAAAGCTTCAAAGTATACAATGATTTGTTCATATCTGCAAATGACCTTTAGAACAAACTTATCTACCAGGAAAGAAAGTCCAATGTCAATGGCTCATACTAGTCATCCTGCCTGCACAACCTTCTGTATATTCATACACTGGCTTTTCTGTTTAGGCATCAGTTTCTTGTGAGTTTGGCTATGGTGAGTTAACACCTCAAAAACATGATCCTTCCTAAATGGCGTCACAGAATGCCAGAGTCCTAGAGCTGAGAGAGCCCTCCTGAGAGCATCTTCACCTTCTTCATTTGGTAGCCTCTTCAAGCTACCAAACAGACCCTGGAACTAGAGGATCTCTTCAAGGTTAGTTCAAGGACAAAGGCATATCAAGACATTGTTCTCTATCTAAAGAGGAATAAATGTCTTCACTAACCTCAATCTGAAACAAGAGAAAGATGATACAACTACAAGCCTTGTTCCTTTCCCTCCTCCATCCTTCAGGAAGTATCAACTTCAGGAAGTTGATACTTTAATGAAGTATCAACATTTTAGAACTTTCAGCATTGGAATTTTAATGTCAGAATTAAAATGTGATGTAATTCTTTAAAGTCTCTTAAATAAAACTGATAGGCTTTGCTTTGAGTATCAACATTGATTGATTTTGATCAGTTTAACATCTGTAGATAAAGGATTTGCCCTGAAACTGAACATTTGCTATAGGACATTAATATCACAAAGCGTTTTGTTGATTCAATCTAACTGCCCAATCCAATCTCCTAGGAGACATGGCATTTTCTGCCTAAGAGGCCCTAATGGTTTGTAGAAGATAATAAAGTGAAACGAGCTCATAATTTTGTGTCAGATGTTCAAGGAACTTGGTGAAAATTGATTTTCACAGTGATCCAAAAAATAAGACATTATCAATTCTACTCTAGAAATGATAGATACTATAGTTTCCATGTAATTTAATGTCGCTGAATTTATACAATTGGTTGGGACATTCCAAAGTAATTGTTTAATATGCTAACAAAGAATGAAAAGTCATCAGGTATTCCTCCTTACAAAATCCGTCTTCTGTTGAACTTTCGTTTGTAAAACTCCTATGGGACTTCCCTCACAGTCCAGTGGTTAAGACTTCGCCTTTCAACACAGGAGGTGTAGGTTTGATCCCTGGTCAGGGAACTAAGATCCCACATGCCTCACGGTCAAAAATCCAAAACATAAAATGGAAGTAATATTGAAACAAGTTCATGAAGACTTTAAAAATGGTCCACATCAAACAAACAAACAACTAATTCCTATGTATTTAAACTTAAAAATTTAATTTACCATGCTTAAATTTCACATTAATGTTAATATTGATAACACATTGTAGTGTAATAGTTTATAGATAAAATATATTGCTGAGGCATAAATCTCAAATTCCTACTGTTAAATAAGGATATATTTATACATATAAATATATTTATGTATATATAGACACAGTGAGTGTCATGTGCAAAAGTACTGCATTTGGTACTTGCAATTATTATCACATATAAAGAAAAATCTAAAGCACGGAACATTTTTGTCATAATTAGCACTTGACTCATTATTCTCTTGAGTTAACAGGCTTTCCTTAATCAAACACTGCCAGAAACTTCAGGTAACAAACACATTCTCTCTTGCTTCACAACAATTCAATTTAGCAATTTTGGAGGATTGCTGACCCAATTAGTTTATAGATATGATATAGTTGTTAGTCTGTACTGCATCACGGATAAAAGGAACTTCTTTGCATTAAATTTTCACAAATTTAATTTATTAAAACTGAATTAATACAAGTTTAATAAGCTTTTAAGGAGAAAACAGGGAGAATTTGGGACTTCCCAGGTGGCTCAGTGGTAATGAATCCACCTACCAATGCAGGAGATGTATGTTTGATCCCTGGGTCAGGAAAATTCCCTGAAGGAGGAAATGGCAACCCACTCCAGTGTTCTTGCCTGGGAAATCCCATGGACAGAGGAGCCTGGTGGGTTACAGCCCACAGGGTCAAAAAAAAGTCAGACATGACTGAAATGATTGAGCATGTACACACTCACAGGAAGAATTTAAGCATCTATATTTCGAGTGGTTGTCACCTTTAGTTAAGAGCCAAACATACTTGTTTTATCTCTAGATGTGTTAGTTTCCGTGAGAGTGTCACCCACAAGTGACAGCACTGTCCCTTCTGAACAAGTGTTGTCAGCTTCTCCTGAATCTGGAAAATTTCTGCAGCTCAGAATCTGCCATTTCCCAGCAGGGCTGACAGTCTCATCCTCCCCTGGCAGGAGGAGGTTTACTGCCTGACATTTGTACACCAGCCCTGGATTTTACCCAAGGTTCCAAACTGAATAACACCTACGGTCTACTTGACAATGTGCACTTGAACGTGTAACAGGCATCACAAACTTCACAGGAACCAGAAGTGGATCTTTGATTTTTGCATCTCTCCAAACCTGTTCCAGTCTTCCTGGTCAGTACCTGGCACCATCCTCTCCTTAGACTGGTGAACCAAAAACGCCAAATTCATCTCTGAAATTAAAAACTGCTCAGTTGTATCTGACTCTTTGCAGCCCTTGGAGTGTAGCCCGCTAGGCTCCTCTGTCCATGGGGTTTCCCAGGCGAGAATATTGGAGTGGGCAGCCTATCCCTTCTCCAGGGAATCTTCCCGACACAGGGATTGAACCTGGGTCTCCTGCATTGCAGGCAGATTCTTTACTGTCTGATTCAGTCCTGCCCTTGTCCACTGCCCCACCTCTGTGGCCAGGACCAGTCCAAGCCAGAGCATCTTGAGGACACCTGCAATCTCTCCTATTTTTCTGGCTCTGACTCATGCCACCGTAATCCTTTCTCTACCCAGCAACTAGTCATCTTTATTTAAAAAAAAAAAAACAACCGGAGAGGCACATCCATGCACAAACCCTCCAAGTGTTTCCAGTGTACAGAGAATACAGCCCATGAGGCCCTGGTTCCACCTACCCCATGCCACCTCCCTCAGTACGCCCCTCCTCCTGTCCACTGGGGATCAAGTCAAGGCTGATTCCCTGTTCCCTCTGCCTGGACAGCTCCTTCCTCAACCTTGTCACATTTCAGCCACTTGTCACCACCTAGGAAGGCCTTTTCTGATCACCTGATTATCTTAAATCACTGTGCCACTCTCCTACTACCTACGAACAAAACATTGTAATAACATGTTCTTTACTCTATGATCTTCTTTTCTTTATGGTATATAGTATCAGGTAAGATGTCCTAATATATTTAACACTTCTAATATTCTTTAAATATAGATTTATCTATAAAGACCTTTAGGGTTTTGCTCAAACGTTACCGCCTCAATGAGCCATCTTTTGGCCACCCTATCCAACATTTTAACTCTCCTCACATGTCCTATAGCCGTGTTCTGCTTTACTTTTGTCTCCTGACAGTGTATCCAGTAGCAAGCAAGAGATTCTCTTCTATGTCTCTTGTACTGTCTTCATTACAGTGAAAACACCCTGTGTTTTGTTGATAACTGCATCTGCAGTGCCTAGAACAGGGCCTGCCATAGAGTGGACTTTCACTACAAAAATTCTGAGAAAGAAACTTAAAATATCTTCCATTGGAATATAAGCTTCACAGGACCAGAGACCTCTAGAGTGTTCTTTGCGATAATCCCAGGGCCTAAAACGGTATGTGGCCCATGGAGGGTTTCTGCAGCTACAGCAAGACATGGAAAAGCTTCATGAATTGAGGAGTTGAAAGATGGAGAAAGTCTGATGAGAAAGGGAGGTGAGGGTGGAGCTGGGGAGAAGGTAGGTGGTAAGAAATGAGTCAGTTGACAGACACTACAGAGAGAACCAAGTCCATTCCACTTTCTATTTAACTAGGTGGTGGTCAAATGGAATGAATGTGAAGGGGATGGGAAATCAGAGATGAAAGTGTTACTCTTTATTTTCTTTTCAAAGTCGGAGAGAAACTAGATGGAGGGGGAGCAAAAATACATTATGAAATTCACTAGTACAAAATAGGAATAATTAATTGCCTTATTTAAAACAGTATTTCTTGCTTGAATGTATGCATATGCATGAGAAGCTGATTCTGTATACAAGTCAGAAGGGAAAATAAAATGCAAATAGTGTAGTGTTAGTCGCTCAGTTGTGTCCGACTCTTTGCAACCCCATGGACTGTAGCCTGCCAGACTCCTCTGTCCACAGAGCTCTCCAGGCAAGAGTGGGTTGCCATTTCCTTCTCCAGGGGATCTTCCTGACCCAGGGATGGAACCTGTGTCTCCTGCATTAGTAGGCAGACTCTTTACCACTGAGCCATCAAGGAAGCCCAAAATGCAAATACCAGGTGGTAAAAAATCCAATGATACAGAACATAAGGACATCAAAACAGTGTCCTAAGTATCAGGGTTTCAGCATACCTGTGCTTTCCCATACCGAGAAACTGGACTCTGAGGGTACTTGCGAACCAGTTCTTCAAATGCATTCACTGCTTCCTCAATTTTTCCCTGTTAGGAAGAGGCAATTACATACATAGAATAAATTCAAATGCATAATACAGTTATTTAATATTCACCAAGTAAATTTTGTTAAAATTTTCCAGACTCCCTTCTGAGTTTATAGTTAACAATCTTCTGTCTTAAGATTCTAAATAATTAACTGCATGATGGAAAACATAAAACTAGAAATGAACACAAATAGACTTTATTTTTTAAAAGGCAGATACCTGACTAATGATGGACTATGAGTCTTTGTTAAAGAAATGGTATTTTCTCTCTGCATGTATAGTTCCTACATGCAATCTTTAAAAGACATTTAGGACTTAAGCTGGGGGAGGAATATTCCTGGCAGTGAGAACGTCTGCAATGAGAAGGGCAGTCTCAGTGGGGAATAAGCATATGAGATGAGAGGGCCACCTGGCCTCGGAAACTGTCACCCACTGAGCATCAGGGCTGATGAGGCTCAGCTGGTGCTTAAGTGCCTCATTGGCTCCAGGTCATGAGACCCCTCCCGAAGCCCACGTGGGTCCTTAAGAGGCCAGTTGGAGCACCTGTGATAGGTCTCTGACCACCACTGTGGAAACAGACGCAGAGGATGTGCGACAGGTAAGCTTGCCGAGGGTCTCAGCATGGGGGTGAGGAGTCCCACCCCCACCCCCTGCCCCTGCCTCAGTCCATCCACGGTGACAAACACACATCTCCTGATGTTCTACTGGAAGGCAGCACATCAGGATGTTGGAACCATGAGATGGGGACAGAGTTACTGAGTTGAACTTTACCAGACCCTTCAGGCCATCTGTCCATAAATCCATTCTTTCCTTGTGTAAATGTGAGTTCACTGTGCTTTGGATGCCATTACCTACACTGAGTGAGTTTTCATAACAACAAAGTTCACCCCAGAAATGTGGTTGGGCTCAGCACACGTATAGTACTACTAGATTGTTACTGACACCTACTTCTCAATGACTTGGCTGAATAGAACCAGGCAATATCTATATTAAAGCCCCTTAAAATCCTGGAAGAAGGAGGTTTTTTTTTTTTGTTTATTTTTTTATTTTTTTATTTCCTGTCACATGCCCATCAGTGATGCTGAGGGTCTAGCTAGAATCTGGGCTCCACCACTTAGGAGACGTGAAACTTCTGGCAAATTACTTATGACTTTGCCTTAATACACCTCATCTGTGAAATGGGGACAACGGAGTACTTGATTACCTTGGGGGTTACTGTGAAGATCAAATCTAACAACATCCATAAAGTGCTTAGAGCTGCTGCAGAGACCATGGAAACTATTGAAAATTTGTTAGCTATTATTGCTACTATTGTAGTGTGGGGAGGATATGAGAGCCAGCACAGGAGAATAAAGTGTGTCCCAGGTAAGTCTCTTACCTGATGGACAGGTTAATGCAAAAAGAATGAGGGTTTGAAGGCTGAGATAAATCAAGCTAGTAACTTATTCTCTAAGTTAATTGTCAGAAATAATTGTATGGCTATTTAAAATATGCCATGCCTCTCACAATATTGACTTTTTAAAAGGCTTTATTTTTTTAGAACAGTTTTAGGTTTGTGGCAAAATTGAGAGGAAAGTATAGAGATCTCCCATGTACCCTCTTCCCCTACTAATGCACTGACTCCTCCATAATCCATATCCTGACTCAGCACAGCAGGACATTTGTTGCAATTGATGAGCCTTCAGTGACACATGAAAATCACCCAAGGTCCATAATTTACATTTGGGTTCACTCCTAGTGTTGTATATTCTATGGGTTTGGACAAATGTATAATGACAGGTATCCAACGTTTTTACTTTTTCCATAGTTTTGCATTTTCAGAAAGTCATATAGTTTGAATCAAATAGTATGTAGCCTATTCAGATTAGCTTCATTCCCTTAGTAAAATGCATTTAAGCTTCCTCCTTATCTTTTCATCCCTATCTTTTCAAGGAAATGAAATCAATCAATCCTAAAGGAAATCAGTCCTGAATATTCATTGGAAGGACTGATGCTGAAGCTGAAGCTCCAATACTTTGGCCACCTAATGCAAAGAGCCGAATCTTTGGAAAAGACCCTGATGCTGGGAAAGATTGAAGGCAGGAGAAGAAGGGGATGACAGAGGACGGGGTGGTTGGATGGTGTCACTGACTCAATGGACATGAGTTTGAGGAAGCTCTGGGAGATGGTGATGGATAGTGAAGCCTGGTGTGCTGCAGTCCATGGGGTCACAAAGAGTCGGACCCAACTGAGCAACTGAACAACAACAATTATCTTGGCTTGATAGATATTTCTTTTTAGTGCTGAATCAGATTTCATTGTCTAGATGCATCACAGTTATCTATCTGATCACTTACCGAAGGACATCTTGGTTGCTTTCAAGTTTTGGCAATTATTGAAAGTTGCCATAAACATCTACGTGCAGGTTTTTAGGAGAACATAAATTTTCAGCTCCTTTGGATAAATACCAAGGAACGAGATTTCTAGATTGTATGCCAAGAGTATGCTTAGTTTTGTATGAAACCATCAACTGTCTTTCGAGGTGGCTGTACTATGAGGGTTTCCAGGGCTACACATGGTCATCAGCATGCAGTGTTGTTAGTGATCCAGTGATAGTGGTCTTTCTAAAGGAGTAGTAGTAGTATCATCTTGTTTTAGATTGCATTCCATAACATATGAGGTGAAGCATCTTTTCATACGCTCATCTGCCATCTGAATATCTTCTTGGGTGAATTGTCATCAAAGGTCTTTGGCCTGTTTTAAAAATCGTGTTGCTTATTTTTTATCATTGAATTTTAAGAATGCTCTGTGTGTTTTGGATAACAACTTCTAAAACCACTACTTTATTTCTCCCATGAATGATTTTAAGGGATGAAGAATTCAAAATAAATATCCTTTTCTGAGTAACTTTCTTCTAACTACCTTGGATGAGTTTTCTGTGGCCACTGTAACAAATGGCCACAAACTCGGTGGCTTGAAACAACAGAAATTCATTCTTTCACTGTCTGGAGAATGGACTGGAATCCAGATGTGGGCAGGGCCATTCTTCATCCAGAGGCTGTAAGGAAGAATCTGTTCCTGCCTCCTGACAGCATTTCTTTTCTTTTAAAATACGTATTTATCTATTTAGCTGTGGGGGGTCTTAGCTGCAGCATGTGGGATCTTTGATTTTCATGTGGCAGGCAGGATTTTTAGTTGGAGCATGTGGGACCTGACCAGGGATTGAACTTGGGCCCCTTGCGTTGGAAGTGTGGAGTCTTTAGTCACTGGACCACCAGGGACAGCATTTCTTCGCTGGTGGACACACCACTCCCATCTCCACTTTATCTTCTGTGTGTCTTCTGTTCTGTCTATATCAGGTTTCCCTCTGCCTCTCTCTTATATGGAAACATGGGAGTGAATTTAGGGTCCAACTAGATAACCCGGGATAATCCCATCTTAGACCCTTTAATCCTATCTGCAAAGACCCTTTCTCCAAACACAGTAACATTTACAGATTCAAGAGATTAGGACATGGATATTTTTGAGGGGTGGGCAGGGGGGACAATTTTCAGTCTATCACATGCCCTACACAACTTCAATTGCAAATTTGGGAGCTATTTTTGTGAAAATCATGCTAAATGCACCATCTCCAGATTTAAAGCATAGGATTAACAATATTCATAACAAGTCTGCTTAAGTATTTTTCCAGCTAACACTCCCTTAGTTGGCCATCAAGGTTATATAAATAATGGAACACACTGGCTCTGTTCTAGGCATCTCTGGATCCCTTCACACAGATGCTCTGATCCTTTCCCAAGGGACCATCAGCCCTGCCCTCCCCTCAGCTGTCGGGCAAAGTAAATGTGTTTGCTGTTAGTCTGAAAAAAATTTCCCTTCCCCAGCTTCTTACTGGAGAATAAAGCTCCTGAAACCATTACACAATTCTTAATAAACTCAACTATAAGATAGAATGCTCATGAACACTTGCCTAAAAATCACCTGTTATTCAACACAGCTTATATATGATCCTAGGACCAAGACCATTCATTGGAGAGACAGGTACTTGCCCCTGTCACCCCACCCCCAGCCTCTATTTTGGCATAAGGCCAGTGGGCTGCCTTGCAGGACATTAAGACATGGCCCATAGAGGTCACTTAAGATCCATGGGTGTACTATAAATTTACTAGTTTTTGTTTTGTAATTAATGACTATTTTGGAAGATACATGTTGAAGATATACAAAAATTCTGTTTCTCCCTAAATTGTATTCATTAAGTTTAGAATTCATCCCTGGGGTGGATTCATTGAGATTTTCTATTTCTCTTAATTACTTCTCCATTGACTCACTGGAATCTTCTAAAAGAAAAGAGTTGATGAGGACCTACTGTACAGCACAGGGAACTATGCTCAATATTTTACAATAATTATAAGGGAAAAGAATCTGAAAAAAATAGATATGTATGTATTTACAACTGAAACGGGCTTCCCAAATGGCACATTGGTAAAGAATACGCCTGCTAATGCAAGAGGCGCAGGAGACACGGATTTGATACCTGGGTTGAGAAGATCCCCTGGAGGAGGAAATGGCAACCCACCCCAGTTTTATTGTCTGGAGAATCCCATGAACAGAGGAGTCTGGCGGGCTGTAGTCCATGGGGTCGCAGAGAGTGGGACATGACTGAGCACACATGCATAACTAAAACACTTTGCTGTATACACTCAACCAAAATAATATTGTAAATCAACTATACTTCAATCAAAATAAATAAATTAAAAAACCAAAAAGCATCAGTGGGTGCAACATTAGGGAGGAGGCTGAGCCATCCATCACTGGGTCCTTGATGCAGATCTACAGCAGGACACTCTCTCTGGACTTAACACAGAGCAGCTCTTCTGAGGACCACTATTCATCTGCCGGTGTGATCCATGACTCTGCCTTACTCAGCCCACAGTTAACATCATTCCTAGCCCTGTTTAGAGCCTGCAGTGTGAACTTTTCATGTGTTCAACTTTTGGCTTTATTAAGCTTTCCCTCCTTTCCATTTTTTATGATTCCAACAAATGAATATTTTAGTCTATCATTTCCAATCCTTTTTCTGGGGCATAAGGAGGAGTTTTAAACAATACATGTTATTTTTAAAAATCAGTGACTGAAAAATGATTTGTGCATTTTTGGAGGAAATAGAAAGCGACCTCACACGTTCATGTCACATGGTATCTGAAACAAGGGTGTGACCTGAGACTGGGCCTCTTCTGACCAGAGTATGCCTTAGGGCCACAGTGATCCCAGGGGAGTCTGTTGCATTATTTGAAAACACCAGCTATAAAAACAACCCTAAAAAACTTAATTCCACTGATGATTCAGTTCATAACATGGCTCCCTGTTGTTTCAGAAGCAAGAATTGCCTCAGTAGCCACTTCTTCCTCTTTTATTTACCCTGTTACAGACCCACAGTGCTTCTTGAGGTTAGCATCATAATTTCTGCAAATAAGCAAGGGCCAGAGGAGAACACCCCATGAATTGTTCCAGCACTTTTATGTTTCACTGACTTACCTGTCCCTTGATAACTTCTCTACCATTCATTATCATTACATAAAAATCCTTCTCTAAAGCTGTTTGTTTATTCTTTATCCCTAAAATCACCTGTGAAATAGGTACCCCCCCCCGCCCCCGCCTTATTTTTCACTAAGGATATACAGCACAGAGAAAGTGGAGAATGCCAAACAGGGTGATAGGAAAAGAAGATTCCTGCCTCATTCCTAGTAAGAAATGCAAAATTTCAACAAAGAATAGATGGTCTCATTTTACAAAGTTAAATGAGATAGACACAGAAATCGTCCAATGTTAATTTAGTGAACAAAGACTTGGGTTGTAATATTCTCTGGAATTACTACATTTGTATCCGGCTGCTGATGAGGGTGAGCCAGGCTTTGGTTTGGGAACCTTGCCATTTGCTAGTTACAGACATCTTCATGCTTGTTTGGGACTTTTCCAAAAGATGTGTGGGAAGCACACTTTCGTCCCACTTCAATGCCTAACTTGGATGTTTTTATTGTTGTTTTTTAACTATGACAATCCTCTATTACTTTTTTTTTTTTTTGCAGTCAATGTCTCAATGTCTACTGATTAAAAACCACATTACAGGAAACCCAATGGTATTACACCAGGTATAAATTCAAGTACAGAACCAAGACAGAAATGTTCACAAAAGAGAAGTAGAGGCAAACCTCGGAGATCTGGCGGGTTTGGTTCCAAATCATCACAATAAAGCAAACACTGCAATAAAGCAAGTCCCCATGAATATCTTGCTTTCCATTACATTTAAAGATTATGTTTATATCACACCAGGCTTCCCTAGCGGTTCAGATGGTAAATAATCTGCCTGCAATATGGGAGACCTGGGTTCAATCCCTGGGTTGGGAAGATCTCTTGGAGAAGGGAATGGCTACCTGCTTCAGTATTCTGGTCTGGAGAATTCCATGGACAGAGGAGCCTGGCAGGCTGTAGTCCATGGGGTCACAAAGAGCTGGACACAACTGAGAGACTTGCACTTTATATCACACCATGGTCTATTAAGTATGGAAGAGCATTAATGTCTAAAAAACAATGCACAAACCTTAATTAAAAATACTTTATTGCTAAAAAAATGTTGATCATCATCTGAGCCTTCAGTGAGTCATAATCTCTTGGCTGGTGGAGAGTTTGAAATTATTTTGAGAATTACCAAAATGTGACAGAAAGACATGAAGTGAGCAAATGAGGTTGGAAAGATGTCACTGATAGGCCTGTTTGACACAGGGCTGCCAAAAACCTTTAATTTGGAAAAAAAAAAAGTGCAATATCCATGAAAAGTGCAATATCCATGAAGAACAAGAAGTAAAGCACAATAAAACAAGGTAAGCCTATAAATGATTAAGTGAAGATGTCATTAAATACATTATAATAAATACTGGGCATGGTAATTAGATGAATATGACTGAGTTGGGAGAACAGATAACTTCAATCTTCTGTTAATTCCCTGTTTTCAAAAACTGCAATATCCAGGAACAAATGCAAATAAGGTTTTGAATTAACTGATGACAAAGCAAAACATAAAATAATCACCCTGGGAATTAGAGCTATGTGAGTTTAACCCAAAGTGAGAAGAATCTTAAATCTAAAATCACTTCACCTAATAGTAACTATCCTAAGTATTAGATTAACTTTTTTCTTTTTGCATCAAGGTGCTTTAAAACAAAAACCCTTACTTGTATGCTGCTTGGCAGTACTGGTGGTTTTTTAAAAAATCTCTTATCTCATTGTTCATTGTATAGTCACTAAGTTGTGTCCGATTTTTTTGTGACCGCCATGGACTGCAGCACACCAGGCTTCACTGTCCATCACCATCTCCCAGAGCTTCCTCAAACGCATGTCCATTGAGTCAGTGATGCCACCCAACCATCTCATCCACTGTCATCCCCTTCTCCTCCTACCCTCAGTCTTTCTCAGCTTTGGGATCTTTCCCAATGAGTCAGTTCTTCCCATCAGGTGGCCAAAGTATTGGAGCTAAAGCATCAGTCCTTCCAATGAATAGTCATGGTTAATTTCCTTTAGGATTGACTGGTTTGATCTCCTTGCAGTCCAAGGGATTCTCAAGAGTCTTCAGCACAATTCAAAAGCATCAATTCTTTGACCCTCGGCCTTCTTATGGTCCAACTCTCACATCTGTACATGACTACTGGAAAAACCATAGGTTTGACTAGATGAACTTTTGTCAGCAAAGTGATGTCTCTGCATTGTAATACGCTGTCTAGGTTTGTCATAGCGTTTCTTCCAAAAGAGCAAGTGTCTTTTAATTTTGTGGCTGTAGTCACCATCCACAGTGATTCTGGAGCCCAAGAAAATAAAATCTGTCATTGCTTCCACTTTTTCCTCAACTTAACTTATGCTCATCTCATTGGATCTTTATAAAAAATCAAGGAGAAGTAAGTACCTATTATTCTCATTTTTTAACACAAGGAAACGGAGACTCAGAATGACCGAGTGATTTCTCCAAAGCCACACAACTAGATGGTGATGGAAGGTGCTAACTCCCCAACTGGCTGGCCTGAAGGTGAAGTTCTGTTTCTATCTGGCCATTACAGCTGCAGTTTTTCTTTTCATTTGATTCACTCCACGTGGAACGCTGCTGTGCCTGGGGAAAAATCCAATCTATTCAAAGCTTGTTTCTCTTGCAGTGTTTTTCAAAAACAAACCAAAGGTAACGCCTGAGTTTATTTAACAACGAAACCATCGCACGTTTCTATGAAACATAGACCATCGACCTACCCTTTTACGGAGTTTTTCTGCAGCATCAAGCTCAGCTTTAATAGTCTTATCAAATTTATTTAATAGTTTAGGCTTCTTTTTCTTCACTGAAAGAAAAAAGAGTTTTATAATTTTTATTTTATTTTTCATCTAGAAATAGTTACAGCGAACAGCAATTTATAAAAGCAGTAAGAAATCCAGCATGGGTCACAAGCCAATTGAAACTGGAGGAGCGGTTCCGGATTCAACTTCCTACATGGCTCAACTTCCTACCGGGGTTGACCCAGCCAGTAAACGCCAAGCACAGGGACACAGCCTGAGCCCTTTAACCCATTTGCTCCAAGGTGTTCCTGGGATTCTGGGTGAATACCGATATCCTGAAATTCTCAGGAGAGTGACTTAATTTATGGAACAAAATGGTAGGTATGATTTCTAAACTCTTTTAATCAACTCCTTGGTTAAGTCCCAAAGACCACTGACAACCACATCTTTGAACACCTACAGTGTTTCCGAGCAGGTAAAAGTAGAAAACTACTCTTAAAAGGACTCAAGCAAGCAGGATTTCTTAGTTGAGGACTCAAGCCCCTTCTGTTGCATCCAGGACCTAAATTCCAGCATATTCCATACTTTAGCCTGAGGGGACCACCCCATGAATAAGCTTTGTGTCATTTCTGAAGCTTATTTCTCCAAGTAAAATGACTTATTCCTTTTCATTTGAAAAGGAAGGGGAGGGCGGGACGAATTGGGAGAACAGCACTGACAAATAGACACTACCATGTAAAATAGCTGGCTAGTGGGAAGCTGCTATAAGGTTCAGGGAGCTTAGCTTGGTGCTCTGTGATGACCTAGAGGGGTGGGATGGGGTGAGGAAGGGAGGCTGTACTGGGGCAGGATATATGTATCTATATAGCTGATTCACTTTGTTGTACAGTAGAAACTAACATAAAATTGTAAAGCAATTATATGCCAATAATAAAATTTTTTTAAAAAAAGAAAAATATACCCCTCCTTTAATAGTCAGCTCAAAACCACATTCATTCCACATATCACCCATGCAAGCACTCTGTTCTTTTTTCTCTCTCTCTTTCTACTACACGACTGAAGTCCTCAGCACAACGCATACATCTTTTTTTGTGATTCTTCCCCATATTATATGGGACTTTCATTATAATAACGTATATACTTATCTTGGTCTCTTTCCAAACCATAAAACTGTAGCTTGTCAGGTTGCTCTGTCCAAGGGATTCTCCAGGCAAGAATACTGGAGTGGGCTGCTATTTCCTCCTCCAGGGCATCTCCTGGACCCAGGGATCAAACCCATATCTCTCGTATTGGCAGGTGGATTCTTTACCACCGCACCACCTGGGAAGCTATGACTCACTCATAAATCTTGACTTGGGAATATGGGCCATATTTCCAAGCACCCCACACTCCAGGTTAACCATCAAATCATCCCAGTGGCCATAGCCACTGTGAATGCTTTCAGATCATTTTCTGCCCAGTCCCACCCTGTGAGTAAGTTACCCTGTAATCAAGGCATCTATTGATTACATGGAGTCTCCTGCATCATTTTTGGTCTCGAAATGCCTTCTCAGTTCGGTAGGCACTTTTTGTTCCATCTGTCCTCCATCATCTCTTCTCTCTCATCTATGTGTCCCAGTCGAATGGTTTCTAAAAGGAGGGAAGTTTCCTAAAAATCTTAGCCTCCTGCCTCTCCCCACAGGGAAAGTGGTGTGACTTATCTGATGACTGAGCTTGGGGGAAGCGACAAGCTTGCGTGGCTCAGCCCTACCCCATCCCTTCCTCTAGCACATGTACCTCTATTGTGCTGGGCTGGTAGCACGTGCTCCAGGGAGGGGACACACATGGTGGAACTAGAGCTGCTCCATGATGCCTGGAGTGAGTGGATATATCCATTTCTGGGGTTCAAGATTATGACACCTGCTATTCCTGCTCACTTAAGTCCATTCTTCAATTTGGCTTTCATCAGCAATAAGGTTGACACTTTGATCACTTATTCCTTTCATTCCTTGTGATACATGTGTTAAATTTCTACTGGAGTCCAGTTGATTTACAATGTTGCATTAGCTTCAGGTGTACAACAGAGTGAATCAGTTATCCATACACATACATCCACTATTTTTAAGATTCTTTTCCCATACAAGCCAAGCAGAGGACTGAGTCAAGTTCCCTGTGCTACACAGTAGGCGCTCATTAGTTATTTATTTTATCTATAAATAATAGGAAATAACAGACATAGTGCGCACATGTCAATCCCAGTATCCCAGTTTATCCCTCCCCCCTTTCCTCCTGGTTAACCCTAAGTCTGTTTTTGACATCTGTGACTCATCTTCTGTTTTGTAAATAAGCTCACTTATACCTTGTTTTTAGATTCCACATATAAGCAATATCAGATATTTGTCTTTCTGTTTCTGTCTGACTTGCTTCACTTAGTATGACAATCTCTAGGTCCATCTATGTTGTTTCAAATGGCATTATTTTGTTCTTTTTTTCATTACTGTAACATTCCATTATATATAACTCCTAGGCATATACCCAAAGAAAGCCAGAGTTCAAAAAGATACACGCACCCTGATGTTCATTGTAGCACAATTTACAATAGCCAAAATATGGAAGCAACCCTAATGTCTATCAATAGAGGAATGGATAATGAAGATTTAGTACATGTATCATTCCTTCTATATTTTTAAAAGTTGCTATCCTTTTTAATTTGTTTATTCCACCTTTCTCTTCTCCTCTCCCCAAACCCTGAGGTCCCCAGTTGTTGAAAAATATGTCTAAGGCAGAGACTGTAAAATAGTGGTCAATGGGAACTTTCAATGGCGTATCATACTATGTGAGCATTCATGTCGAGGACATGGGAAATGAGTTGACACTTGGCTGAGATGGGGATTTATAAGAGGTGGGAGTTACTGTTGTATCACCCACCAGTGATCTGTGTCTTTCAATTGCTCACTTTGGTTTTGTACAAGTGTTGGTCAGCAGAATGACAGACAGCAGGACCAGGAAAGCCTGGTGTGCAGAGGGTTTAACTGCAGGCATCAGCACTTTTTCCAAGTACGTCACACATGTTGTACAGTTAAAATTAACATGAAGCTTACTCATTACGGGGGAAAAAAAACTATTGGCAGCTTAGGACAGCCAAAATAGTTAGCAGTAAAATATGCATACATGCTACCATATATAAAATAGATAGCCAACGGAAATTTGCTGTGTTACTCAGGGAACTCAAACTGGGGTTCTGTAACAACCTAAAGGGGTAGAAAAGGGTGGGAGGTGGGAGGGAGGTTCAAGAGGGAGGGGACATATGTACACCTGTGTCTAATTCATGTTGCTGTATGTCAGAAATCAAACCAATATTGTAAAGCAATTATCTTTCAATTAAAAATAAATTTAAAAATTAATTAAAAATATGTTTGTTAAATAGCCATACTATACTCAGTGTCAAAATATTGCAATATAGCACATAAAAATAGAACATTAAAAGTCTCAAAGAACTTGTTACCAAGAGAAATCACTTTGACCCATCTTTTCCTATATCTTCCTCTTGAGTAGCTGCTAATATTGCTCCTCCCTCTAAAATCCGAGTTTATTTCTATCACGAATATGTTTAAGCATATAAAAAACCTAAGGCAATCTTCCCAATTGTGAAACAAAACAGAACAAAACAAAACAACCACAGACAGATCTTGTTATGGGCAGCACGTGGTCTCACTACAGAAACAGCAGTGGATTCTCAGGGTTTGTGACGGGACAGGGCAGACTCTCCCAGGCTTTTTTGGGCTTGGTGTTCTTATTGACAAATAAGTGACTTGGACTCGGTCTCTTAAGGTCTCTTTGAATAAATCTTGCACTTCTAATTTCCAGTTGATTCAAACCATGTCAATTATCTTTCAAAGCAGACCTAGAAGTATTGAGCTGGGTGGTTCATTTTGTTAAATTTGGATTTTTAAATGGTTTGTGACTTCCCTGGTAGCTGAGATGGTAAAGAGTCTGTCTGCAATGCGGGAGACCTGGGTTCGATCCCTGGGTTGGGAAGATCCCCTGGAGGAGGAAACCCACTCCAGTATTCTTGCCTGGAGAATCCCATGGGTAGAGGGACCTGGCGGGCTACAGTCCATGGGGTCGCAGAGAGTTAGACATGACTGAGGGATTAAGCAGAGCAAAAATGGTTTAGGAAGCAGCTGTCTATAAAGTTTTATTAAGTTTTGTACTTTCTCGTGGGGTGAGGGGGAGGGGAGGTCACTGGCATTACAAGTCTTTTATCCTTTTCTAAAACCACGAAGGGGAAAGAACAAAACGACCAGCTGCATCTCAAATCCTGACTTTCCTTACTGTGGTTGAGACATTAAGAGCAAATGAAACGAAAAAGAAATGTTAAAAATATAATTAAAGGCATGAAAAAAAAAGACCAAAAGTACACATGTAGATTATATTGAAATTAAATGCTGACTCCCTTTCAGCTCCATTTGGTCTATGGAGGGGAAGGTGTTTTCCTACTGTGGTATGTGAGGAGACCCCAGTCTTACTGGGGAGAAAGTTGTAAACAGATAATGAATCTTTAGAGGAATGCAGATATTTATGAGGGTGAACTAGAAGTGGTGCTAAGCTTTTTGTGAGCCAGCAGAGAAAACTTCCTGGGGAAATGGAGAAATTAAAGTACATACACAGGTAGACGTAGCATTTTGTAAACCAATCACAAGCTTTGGAAGTTGTATTTTCACCATTAGTCATTTCTCTTGTTAAGTCAAAGGCTAAAAATCTCCTTGCATGCTAGAGTCTGATGCAATATCCATGTTGTTGTTCAGTCACTAAGTTATGCCTGACTCTTTGAACAAAACATGGCCCAGTGGAGAAGGGAATAGCAAACCACTTCAGTATTTCTTGCCTTGAGAATCCCATGAACAGTATGAAAAGGCAAAAATATGTGTCACTGAAAGATGAACCCCCGGATCAGTAGGTGCCCAATATTCTACTGGGGTAGAGTAGAGAAATAGCAATATACATGAATGTTCTTATAATGGGAATCTGGGCTTTCCCAGAATTTCCTGACAGTAGAGATCATCCTCAGGGACCCCAGATATGG